CCCCCCAGGGACCCTCGGCTCACCCCCAGCGACCCCTGAAACCACCCCCAGGACCTGCTGCGAACCCCAACCACCACCAAGGGCCTCAACTCCCCTCTAGGCTCTGCTGGAGCCCCCAGCCCCCACCCCCAGCCCCTCCAAATCCCCCGGGATCCCCCAGGCCCCACCTGGAAGGCGATGGGCAGCAGGACGTGGAGGGCAGCGGCCACGTAATCGCCGTCGGTGACACCGGGCTGGGGGACACCCGAGAGACCCCCAGGGACCCTATAGAGCGCTGGGGAGCCTACAGTCCCCTACTGAGCCCTATAGACAACCAGCCACCCTATAGAGCCCCGTGGCACCCTGGGGGCCACATAAACTCTCATAGACCCCTCCAGACCCTCTGAGGACCCTATAGATCCCCTGGAGAACCTACAGACTCCTGGGGTACTCTCTGGGGATGCTATAGATGTTCCCAGCTCTTACAGACTCCTGCAGGTCCCTATAGACCACTACAGCCCCCATATCCCCCCCGGCCCCATATCCCCTACAGCCCCTCATCTCCTATAACCGCCCACAGCCCCCACAGCTACGACAGTCCCCGCGGGCCTTTTACCTCCTACTGCCCCACGCGCCCTGTGTACCCCATACTGCACGACTGTACATCCCCAACACCGCCTACAGCGCCCCCCAGCCCTTACAGCCCCCACCCCCCATCTGCCCCTGCAGCCCCCAAACCTGCTCCCAGCGCAGCTCCACGCTGAACCCCTCCCCGGGGCCGTGGCCAGGGCTGGGGGGGGGCTCCCGGCCCCGCTGAGCCCCGAAGTACAGGACACTGCGGGAGGGAACAGAGCGGGTACGGAGGCACAGCCCGCACCCCAGACCATGGGCCAGGGACCCACAGTGCCCCCAGTCCAGCCCAGTGCCCCCAGCATGGCCCCCCAGGGCTCACCTGGGATCCTCCTGGAACAGCCGAGGGAGGCTCCGGCCGGGCCGGGGGCTCCAATCCACGATCAGGACACTGAGGGTGGACCAGGGGGGTGGGACCCCAGATCCCCCCAAAACTCCCCCCCAAAACGGGACCCTGGGCACAGGGACCCACCCAAAACACCACAAAAAGGGACCCGGGGAACCAAGACCTCCCCCAAAAAGGGACCCCGGGAACTGTGGCCCCCCCCATAACAGCCCCCAGGCCCCCAAATTCCCCCCTGGCCCCGCTCGTTGGGTGCCCCCTGCTCACCGCTGCACCCCGAGGTGTTTCTGGGCCACCCGGGCGGCCACGGCCGCGGGCTCAGGGGAATCCTGGGGGTCCTGGGGGCTGGGGGGAGTAGAAAAATGGGAGAGACCCCTATGGCCCCCACAGACATCCACAGGTTCTCACAGGTTCTTACACACCCACAAGTACTCACAAAAACCCCATAAACCCCCGCATGACCCCACGCCCCCCCTGCCCCGATGGACCCTCACAAACCTCCCCAGCCCCTACAGACCCCACATGGAACCCCCTAATGCCCATGGACCTCCCAGACCCCAACTCCCCCCCCAGATCCTTTTACTCTCCTGGACCCCCTTTCTGACCCTCCTGTAACCCTTTATTACCCCCAAACCCCGTACTCCATTTCTGCTGCCCTGTGCCCCATTTGCACCCCCCATTTTGTGCCCCCCCACCCCATTTCTGCCCCTGTACCTGATCAGGGCCACCCCATTGCGCAGGGCACCCCCCAGCACCTGCTCCAGCAGCGCCAGTGCCGCCCCCACGGCCCGGCGGGGTCCCGACCCCCCCTGTGGATACCCCAGAATCAGTGGGGGGCCCAAAAACCCCGGCAGGACCCCCGAAATGGTGGAAGGGGCCCCAAACTTCATGGGGCAGGGGCAAACCCCCCAAAAAGGGAACCTGAAATGCCCAGGGAAGATCCCAAAACCCTGTGGGGGAACCCAAGAGTTTGGGAGGACCTCAAATGTGGGAGGAACCCCAAAACACATACGTAAAGGACCCAGTGTCAGGGAAACCCCCAAAATTTTGGGGGGAAATCTCAAGCCTCTCAGGGACCCTCCAGGTGTCCAGGGGGATTCCAAACGCCCTGTGAGACCCCAAAATCCCTCATGGGCGTTCTGGGAAGGGACCCCAAACCTTCCCCCAGGTCACAGGGCTTTGGGGACCCCCTTGCTTCAAGGACTCCCCAAGACCCAGGGACCCCAAGATCAGGATGTGCTCACCAGGCCGGGGCTGTCAGGGGGCTCCAGCTGCGCCACGAACAAGGGGCTGTGGGGCCCCAAAATCACCCTCAGGGGCTGGCCTGGGGTCCCAGAGCCCCCCAAAATCCTGACCCCCAGTGCTCCCATCCTCCTTTCAGAGCCCCCCCCAAATCCCAGAGATCCATCCAAATTCCACAGGGATCCCCCCAAACCTTCCAGACACCCCTGCCCCCCATATCCCCCCCAAATCCACCCCAGACCCCTCAGTGCCCCCCCCAAATCTCCCCCACACCCCCCAGTCACTCCACCTGTGCACCAGCAGCAGCTCCTCATCGGTGGCTGGGCGGCACTGAAGGAGAACGGGGGGCATCAGGGGGGTCCCTGAAATCCCGAGGAGTCCCCAAAATCCACGGGGACCCCGAAATGGGTGAGGGACCCCAAATTAGGAGGGGACCTCGAATTTCGTGGGTCTCACCTGCACAGGGACGCAGCGCTGGACCAGCCCCTCCAGCGCCGCCCAGAGCGGGGCCAGACCCCCGGGGGGGCTGTGGGGGACCTGACAGTTAGCGGGACCCCAGTGTTTGGGGACACCCAGGTGTCCAAGACAGACCCCACCCTCCCCCAAAATCCAGGATAGAACCCTCGGGGGCACCCTGACATTTTTTTTTGGGGGGGGGGCAGGTATTTGGGATTTGGAGGGGGGATTTGGGGTGTCCAGGACCCCCCACCCCAATATCAGGGGAACCTATGAATGAGGGAGGAGGTGTTTGGGAGGTGGGGGGACCCCAATGTCGATAGGATTGAGAAAGGGGGAATTTAGGCAAAGATTTGGAGATAAAAGCCTTGGGGGAAATGATTTTGGGGGGATTTCAGGACAAAATAATTGTTTCAGAACGGGATTTGAGGACGGAGGGAATTGAAGGAGGGACATTTGAGGGCCTCAGGGGGGTCCGTACCGGCTGTCCCCGCAGTCGGCTCTGTCCCCTCCATCACTGACCAGTCCTGTTCCAGTGGGAGCTGCGACCTCTGCCCCCAAATCCTGCTCGGGGCGGGGAGGAGGGGGGGCATGGAGGGTCCTGGGACACCCCGACCCCCCAGGGCCCCCCCATCCCAAAGGGATCCCCAAGGACTGGGACAGCCCCAAAAGGACCCAAGGTTTCAGTGACCCTAAAGCCCCCCCCTCCCCGCAGGGGGTCCCTCCCCCATGGGGCCGGGGTGTCCTAGAGCCCCCATCCCCCAAAGGGACCCCAAGCCCCTCTGCCCACCCTTAAAGAGACCGCAGTATAGGGGAGCGCCCCTGGCCCCAAACCACGATGCTACAAATCAAGGGGACCCCCCCCCAAAGGGTCTCCCAGTGTCCTGGGCCTTCCCCAAAAGAAGCCAAGATTTGGGGTTCCCCCAGCACCTCCCCAACAACTGCGCCACGTACTGGGAGCGCCCCACCCAGAGCCCCTCAGGACACCCCAAATTTACACCGTCTCCCGTCACCAGCTGCTGCCTCCCCTCCTGCAGCACCCCCTGTCCCAGGACCCCCCGATCCCATTTTTGGGGATCCCCCTTTACCAGCTGCTGAAGCTCCGCCTCCAGCCCCGCCCTCCGGCCCCGCGCGCGCCCGCGCCGCCGCGCCTGGAGCAGCGCCCCCTGCTGGGGGAGCCGCCGCCCCGCGCGACCCTGGGCGGGGCAAGGATCAGACACGCCCACCACGGCCCCGCCCACCCGCAAACCCGGTAAGCCCCGCCCACACCAAGCGAACCCGGCACGGAAAGCCCCGCCCACCGACCGCACCCACTCAAACCCCGCCCACAGCAAATCACACCCCAGGAGCCCCCCCCCCCCCCCCCCCCCC